CATCTTCATCCCAAGAGCCACAGTACCAGAACCTTTGAGGCTTTGGCTGTTGCGATGTATCACCAAAACTTTGATGAGGAGGAGCCCCTTCGTTTATTGAATTGCTCAGGGAGATGAAGTGGTAGAGGAGACATCTACAGCACTGCTGGAGAAACAACTATCTTGAGTCTTACTGGACACTAGTAAAGCTCTGTTGAATCTATGTAGTGGTGATTCAAGTGGCAAAAGTTGATTATTCTGCTGCCTTGGTTGCATCTACAAAATGCCTCCCAGTGGCCCTCTTTAAAACATCTTTTTTGGGGGAAAGATGACTGGGAAAGCATCTTTCTTGGGGAAAGATGATTGCCAAGGTCATCTGAAGAATTTCTGTGGCATTTGGTGAATGAAATAACTCAGATTTGAGTGGAGTTGGACTTCAGCTATGATTTGAAGTGCTAGCAAGGTCCTATGTGGCTCCAGAGTTGGTTAATTGAGGGATGTCTTGTCCTACATTCATCTGCCATCCATCCAACCAGATTGAAGATAGTCAACTCCCTCCAGGTTCTGCTCTGTAAGACTGCTATTTGACTGGGCTTCAGAAGCAGGTTCTTCCAGTAGTCTCCCCCACACTTTGGAAAACTGTTCCCATGGAGATTTCATCAGCCCCTTCCCTCTTGCGGTCTAGGTAAGCTGTCAAGACCTAGCTGTTCTGTCTAGTAGATGAGAAGGATATGCTCTGATTGAAGCTTAGGTTCACATGCATTTGAGTTTTGAATTTTCTGGTTTTATTTGGATTGTTATATGGAGAGGGGTTTGGTATATCTGAAGTGCTTTTTTCTTTCTTTTTTGTGAATGTTTTTCATTTTGTGATGAGATTGTTAGCTACCTAGAGCCTTTGGGATTGAGCGTCATGCTGTGGTGAGCCAGGTTTTGGCCACGATACAAATGAAGTAAAAATAAATAAATAATTTTGTAGATTTCACTCAGGAACATGGAATAAAACTGGATAAAATTAGGCAGTCTCAATCAAATTACTCACAGACCAGATCCAGAGTGCAGGATTTCTCTCTGATCCCCTGGTCTTAGCTTAATATTCTGAATCTTGCATATAATAACCAAAATTGTAGCAGTGGTTGAAGATACAAAAGACAGTAGGAAAACATAGATGGCAATATGCTTAAATCTCTAAATCCTTTTGATCCACATCAAAAAGCTGTTCTAACTGTCTGTTCTAATGAGTCAGTTTCTTATTGTCTGAATCATGTTTCCTTAAGTAATTTCCATCTGCAGAAGCTTTTGACAGGCCCTATCTCCTTAATAACCATATAGGATGCAACATTAAAATCTCCAGGATCATGCTGCTCTATTTGAATGGACATGAGTGTTACAATCTGAGGTGTCTTGGTAGGAAATAAATCTCACAGAAAACTTACTTCTGAGCAATCATACACAAGATTTGGCAATGATGAATTATTTGTACTTTTACTACACTTGTATTCTTTTCTCCAGTCCTGGCTTTTTTTAATGAATAATGCTCTTCAACACACATGAAGCTACAAGTTCTAAGGTTTAATTCCAGTAAGACCAAAACAAGCCTTTCTTAAGCGGCTGTTTGTTACTATGGTTTCTCTTAGTTATCGAAATGGACTGGAAATAATCCTTAAGCATCATCATTATTTGCTGTCCTCTGTTCCTCCAAATCTATCACAAGCTTCCACGTACTGTAAATATATCCCAACTAACTTGCAGGCATGCTGGGTTTCATAGAAAAGAGTATGCACTACTATTTATACTTCTTCTTGCCTTGGTCATTTTGAATGAAGCTTCAAAGTAAGAGATGTCAGTACATATTGCCATGGCATCATTTGTGCCTGTTTTTTTTTTAAGTTTAAGGGTTTTTTTTAGATTTTTTGTCCCACCTTTATTATTTTTTTATAAATAACTCAAGGCGGTGAACATACCTAATACTCCTTCCTCCTATTTTCCCCACAACAACCACCCTATGAAGTGAGTTGGGCTAAGCGAGAGCGACTGACCCAAGGTCACCCAGCCAGCTTTCATGCCTAAGGCGGGACTAGAATTCACCAACTCCTGCTTTCTAGCCTGGAGCTTTAACCACTAGACCAAACTGGCTCTCTGTTTTCTTTTTCAGACCAATGATAAAATATCTGGCTGAATTCCCTGCAACTTTAGACTTCAGTTTCTGATCCAGAGCTGCGCCTGCTGCGGTTGTCTTTAATGGTCAGTTCTTGGCAGCTACTCAGTTCTTATGAGTGCTATCAGCTTGTACAAACGGGTAGACAATTCTAGTGCATTTCACTGCAATCTAGCATGAGCGATAGTCATTTACACAGGGGACTTGTTGACAATATCTGTTAAGTCATTAATTGTGAGTTAGGATGGCCATAAAAGCCTAGATGATGGACTGGAATTCAGAGGGTGTTTTATGGAGCAACTAACCCAGGTTTGATATTTTACATCCTTTTCAACATTCCTGCCTAAGTCGATGAAGCAAGTGGCCTGGCGGTCTATTTAAGACAAATTAGTCAATAAGCAAACAATGTAGCTAGAGTTGCCTGAGCATTCTTTACACTCTGACTCTTTCCATTGATCTTTGTCTCCTGGGCTTGGAAAGATTCTCTTTAAACGATTTTAGAGAAACTCCCTTTAATCAGCAAACAAGCCCTTAATATTTAGCTGTTCACATTAGAGGGCTTTTTTAAAAAAAATAGCATTTAAGAACTTTCCTGAAGTCAAATGCTATGGATTGAATTAAACTGAGCAAGGGCCAGCCATGAAAGTAGCTGCTTACAGTATTTAACTTGTTCTGCAGCTGAATAAGGGCAGAAGCAATTGGTTGCCCAGTTGCTAGATCAGGAACATCTGAAGAATGGCTGGAGCTTGCCTGAATGGAGCTCCTTGTGCAGGAGGTGTAGAAAAGCAAAGTATTCTGGAAATGGTTGGCCTGAGGTCTCTAGAAGGCACCAGGTTGGAAAAATGCCAGACAAGAGGGAAACTATGCAAAGGTCATAGATCAAAGAGTCATTTTATATGTCTGAAAGGTGATCATGTAGACATTAGAGGCCCGATTGCTACGCAGGGTTAAAATAATGATGCATTTAATATTACAGCGATCAAATTACAGTGCTGAGATTGGGTCTTATTGACTGTTTCCATGCACAAAGAGTATCCTTAGTTTGTCCGATAAAGCCATTTTTGTCAATTTGGAGATAGGTAGAAAATCTGTCCCTCCTCTGGCAGGAGGTGATTTTCATAGTGGTTTGGAAGAGGAGGCTGTGTATTTATTTTAGCATTTTGTGTGGTGGTTTCTTTGTATTGGCCTCTTCCTTGAATAATGGGGAATGGCACAGAGTGGCCAATAGAAACATGGCTATCAGTTTTGGGCACCTCCAATAATAATACCCAACATAATTTAATGTACATTATCATTTTCCTCTTCTCTATCGGCTCCACTAAGTAGGCCAGACCATGAAATCAACTCTACAGGAAGACTAGAACTACTTTTACTGAGATTGGCTGTAGTAACAGAATCTTGCAAGCCTGATTGTGCTGTACCTCTCCCCTCCCTGTATACTGCAGTGAATCAGAGTGGTATCTGCCTGAGTGTGATGGTTCGCGGGCATGGCCTTGGGAGACAGGAAGAAGAGCCACAGACTACACAACATTCAGATAAGAGGGAACTTAGTATGCAGAAGCAATGGGGATGTGGCAAATGTCTCAGAAAGGACCCTCTGTAGTTTCTTGGACTGTAACAGTGAGGGGGGAGAGTTCTACTTTTAGACTTGCAAGATTCCGTTAATGTAGCCTTACAATAAAGTTAGAGATAGTACTTCTGGGTGTGCTTCTTCTCTGGACTACCTCTCAAGGCTGACACTAAGGCACTTCTGAAGATTATCTTGTTTTCCAGGGCTTAAAAATGTTTCAGCCCCCTTTGTTTAGGTAACAGTCCTAGTCTATTTTTATCAAGGTCAACTCCCTTACTCTCTACATTCCCCTCATAAAAAAGTGAGAAGGTGGAACAAATGCGGCTCAATGAAAGAGGAAATCTTTGTGTTCAGTTTAACTCCTGAGACTTCACATACACACCCACTTCATTTTATTGTTAACACATTAGAAATGGTGTGCTACTGCCTTCTTCTAAGATGTTCTTTCTACTTCCCAATCTAAACTTGAGATTTCCTGGTGATCTCCCACCTACTTACTAATTAGATGCAACACTGCTTAACTTTCTGAGATTAGCCAAGATCATCCAGGTGTGGCCACCCAGCTGGGTACAGCACACTATGTAATTTTGTTAAATAGCAACATTTATTTATAAAGAATAATGTACTCTTCATAATAACTAAAGGTCTCTGGGCAGACTGCAACATTTATATCTGCTTAATTTAATTTGAGCAAAAACATTGTTTGAATCCATATGAAATTAATCATGCTTTTGTGCCATTAAACAAGTTAGGCCTGATTAAATTATTTTCATGATCCCAGTGAAGGCAAAGTCGGTACTTTACTATTTTTAGAATTTGTCTTTTTTTTCCTTCAACTGAATTTTTGGCAATGTTGTTCTTACTGCATCTATTGATCAATTTTCTATTTCATACTAAACTTGATTTTTGTATATGTGTGTGTGTGTGAGGGAGAGACAAACAGACAGAGATTGGGGAGGGGGGATAGAAAACAAAGCATGTTCTGTAGAAAAATGGAGGCCCAGAAGAGTTGCTTTCAAATAGAACCACAAGGACTACAAACTCTTTTCTGAAAACATGGCCTCTTATCCCTTCATTATGTAACATTTAATTAACTGAATATCAAAGCAAATAAGCACTAATTTCCTATTCTTTGTAGTGCAAACTGCAGAACAAAACAGATTATTTAGAAGTATATTTCCAATATGCTCAGATAATGTGAATGCCTAATTTGATTGCAGCAGTAACTGCTACACCAGTGGCAGATGAAAATATATTAAAATATTTGTATATTAAATGACTGCTTCAAGTTATTACTCATACCTCTAATTCTAGGTCCTCTCTGTCCATTTCTTGATGAATGCTTCCCATGTAAACATTTGGGTCATAGTATTCATGCCCTGATGAATGCCTAGGAAAATAAAGCACAGTTTAGGTTATCTCTCCCGATTCTAATTAACATATTAATCCTCTCCCAGTCTCATGGCAGATCATCACTAATATGTCAGGCGTGCATCCAGACAGATGCGCTGCCGGTGATCAATGGCATTGAGGATGTTAGCAACATTATACAACAACCCACCCCCTAAAAGCAACCAAATATAAAACGTATCTTGCTTTCTTAATATAATGGCCTCCCCAGGTGGGCTTTGCCACTAGACAGAGGAGCATTTATTCCACCAATAATCTTGAGCAGACTATCAGTTACAGTGGCTGTTCACAACCAGGTAAGGCACAACTGCAGGGGAGGTAAAGCTTTGGAAAAGGTACTGTGTGAGTGATGACACACTCAGCTGAGATGGGAGAAAAGGGGAGCACGCATGAGGCTGATATAGGAAGGGAGCAGCTATACTTTATTGCAGGGAAGGCAACCTTTGGTGACTGGGGAACATTTTTTCCCCTTTTTTAAAGAGTTGCCAATAGATAGAGAGGGAAGGGCTGTGATGAATGATGTCACTGAAGATGATGGGATTTTTGCTCCATTTTCTCCATCTGTGTACGGGGAGGGTCCTGAGAGGTTTAGACTGTTAGATGCAGTATGCCTATTTGAGTCTTCATGTATTTTTCTAATTTTGAAAAATCAATGGGAAATTGTGTGGCAATTGTTCACCACCTCTGTTCTACTGGAGAGATCATACTGAAAGCAGGTAACTAGTCTGAAATGCTTAAAGCCGTAAGAAAAAACATCCTGCATTTTGTTTGGCCATTTTAATTTGATTATTTATTTATTTTGTGTGTGTGTGTGTGTGTGTGTGTGTGTATCCACCCATCTCACACAAAGTGACTCTGGGCAGCGTACAATTAAAAAAGAATAAAAACAAAAATGATTACAAATAAAAGCACACAAAACAGGAGGAGATAACATGAATAAGGGAGCCATCACAAAATCTCCCTGGTCCCCCGGAACCCCCAGGCCTGATCACATAGCCAGGTCTTGAGACACTTGTGGAAAGTTAAGAGGGATGGAGCTATTGATAGAAAAGATAGTGTCCCCATCCCCACAGAAGAAGAAAACACTTGGGGGAATTATGCTTGTGGTGATTTTTTTTTTTTGCACTTATTTTAAAGGAGCCAAAGGTTGCAGACAAGTGTTCTCTTTTTATTTAGATAATTCTCTCTCTGTAATATCAGTCTACAACTTCCAGCCTTCCTAACTCCACCCAAGGAAGGACATAACGAGGGAATGCGTTCCATGGAACCTATTCAGATCAGAGAGCATGATGGCTAGAGAGGCCATGGCGTGACCTGTCAGAAGGCTGCGTAGATACGTAACATGAAGAAAAGCAACCGCCACCATGTCTTCACCACCTCGCAGCAATAAAGTAAATTAGAAAACAAACATAACAAAACATACTAAAACACACTGGGACTGAGGTAATAAAGCCCACATCTCTAGTAGAGGAAGAAAACGTTCATAAACATGGAAAACAGACTGTCACAGTTTTTAAAGAATTGGAACATATGGAGGGGAGAGCGCACATGCATAGGATACTGATACAATGGGTAATTGAGTTTTAGCTCTCAAAAGGAGACCAGCAAGAGGAGGATATGACAGCACTTGCCAGTGAGCATATTTTATTTTTATTTTTCAGTTGCATAAGTTCTTATGTTACATTTGAATGAAGACTCCAATGCACTGCTTCTATTGAGAAAACCAGGGCGACATGTAGAGGACATTTTCTTAGCAGCCACCCTTAGCAACCATTCTTATCAACTGCTGCTACAGGAAAAGGAAATTATGGTGGCAAAGTCCCTCTAGTTTCTGGAGGTAGAGGGGAAAGGGAGTAAGAATGGGAGAGTAAGCAAAAAGTACGTGATTATTTATTTATTTAAAATGCTAAAGCTGCCTTCATAAAACAATCCAGCTAAAACTTAGCAAATGTGTGGACCAACAATCTGATTACCTGCTTTTTAAATTCTTTTCTTGTGTACAACAGGATGACTTATGTTTAAAAGTAATGCACTGTACTAGAAAAAAGACCTTAAAAGTTAAAACAGTAATACCAGTCTGAAGAGGAGGGACAACTAGCACTTTTTAAAAAAATCTTCATATTAGGATAAGAGATAATTTAATGACATTCATAATGGGCTTTAGGTTCTTAATGGATACAAAGAAGCATTACATCCAATTCCCATGGTTATTTCTCCCAAGATAACTCAGGAATATTTCTGCATCCAATTCAGAAGGGCCTTTATATCCTGCAGACAAAAGAAGGACAAGTTTCCTATGTGAGTAACTGAAACCTTATTGAAAGACGATCCTAAACTCTATGTGACAGACCTGCTCCTGGAATTTGCTTTAGGGTGCCTTCCTAGTAGTAATGTCATTGCTAGCTTTCATGAGCAAGATGGGAAACAACCAGCATTTCCTTTTTTTTGGCCAAATTTCGATCATTTTTTATTTAGGATGGAAGACTATATCAAGTATCCCAGGGGTTGTTAATAGATTCAGTAAGAGATATTCCTTGTTCTAAAATATGATTGGTTTATGTATTTATTTGAATTTATTTACCTACTTTAGTACTGAATACAAAACTGCTAACAATGATTAAACAATAGATAGTGATTTCCTTAGTTTTGTTTACTTATGCTTATCAAACCATTAGCAGTAATTAAATATTGTTTGTAGATAAATTATACTTACTCTTTTATTTATTTCTAGGTACAAAGCCATTAGGCCTGCCACATCTGGACTGCAGAAATGACCACTAGATGGCAGGAAATACAGCTTATTGTGTCTTTTTGCAGCCATCCAGATTGTTTCAGCACATGGTAGGCTAGTAGTAATTAAAAACTAAGTATGTTCATGGAAAGGCAGCTAAATGAGCACACTGCATTGGTTAGCAACATGTTTTCAAGAAAAAAATCAACATGATGCTTCTTACTCATAAAGCAGTAAGTTGCTTAAGTAGTGTTGCCTGAATTTTTGGAGCTCCAGTCTGGTACTGCTAGTGTAGCCCTGGGAACTCCACAGGACTATATTTTGTCATATTGGCCTGTCTCCACTGTGAGATTGGGCAAAAAAGGCCTTTCTTTGCTGTGATGTGTTGCTTTTTCAGTAATTGCACCCAATGAAAGGTTTGTTTGGCCTTCTTTCTTTCTAGCTTTAATTGCCAAGTGAAGGAAATTTTGTTGAGGAAGACTGGGCTTTAATTATGCAGTCTTTTAAACCAATTCTGATGCTTCAGTTATATGCTGCTGGTATTTCTGAGTTTTTGTGATTTTGCTTTCATTTAAAAGTTCAATTGCTGATGATAGCCCAATTGATCATTCCTAATTTCATTGAGTGTTATGGTGAAAATTGGATATTTGGAATAGAAATTAATAAATAAATTAATTAATTTATTGGATTTATATGGCTGCCCATCTTACATGAGTGATTCTGGAGGGCTAACAATATGAAAAATAATAAAAGTGTGTGTGTGTGTGTATGTATATATGTATGTGTATGTGTATATATATATTTCACTAGGCAAACAATCTAAATCATTATTAAAGGTAAAAATGCTGTTTAGTTGAGCTTAACTCCTGGAGACTGAATCCATGCAGTTTTCTTAGCAGTGTGCTGGTTAATGATGGGCAGTGTGAAAAAGCACTCTTTTGTCTATTTTAAATCTCCTCCTAATCAGCTTAATTGGATGATTCCTGGAACCTAATGTTTTGAACCAGGGTGATTCATCCCTTTTTTTTTTCCTTAAGAGTGCCAAACACAAATAGACATATCTAAGCCCCCGATCATTTGGATGGCTGCTTTTAAACTTAGTCCATCTCTTTTATATCCTTTTCCAAATGGGATGACCAGAAGTATACACAATATTCAAGACACAAATATACTGTAGAAGGGAATAATGGTATCAGCTGTTTTACTTCCATTCCTTTCCTACTGATCCCTAACATGGGATTTGTATTTTTCTCAACTGCCACATACTGAGTGAATGGCTTCACTGAGGTCTTCATTATGATCTTTCCCCTGCCTAAGTACAGTTCAGACCTCAACAAAGTGTATGTCAAATTAGGAAGTTATGCCCCAGTACACTCAATGTTCTTCAAGGGAACTGCACTGGCCACTGAGTTGACTGTTCATTCTCTTTAAAGAGATTATTCTCAAATTCCTCACAACCACTTTTGTTTTCACTACCTTGAATAATTCAGTATCATCCACAAGTTGGGCCAACTCATGACTTATCAAGAAAACTAACAGCCACTGCATTTTCTCCCAGTGGTTTCTGAATATTAAGTGGTTAACCAAAGTAGAGTCCCTTACATATTTAATTATGGGTTATTATCGCTCTCCCAATAAACGTGGGCATGGGTCACATATTTGTGTGCATACAGTATATATGACAGTCAAAAGTCACACTCCAAAAAAGACAGGCCCAGAACAAAAATAATGTAAATAAAATTTAATAAAATGTAATTGCCATTAAAATAAGGAAGAAAATTGATTCTTATTTACATGCACCAATTATTGTCTCTCACACCCAAACATGCCCTGTCTATCAACAAAACAACAAAAATATGAGGAATTGGGGAAAGGGTAGTTTTACTGGAAATAGAGGAGGGAAAATGCAGAGAGGAATAGGACTGGAGGTGCATGACCAGAAGAAGAGATAACTGGTTACAGGAAGGAGGAAAAGTGAGAGAAGTCCTCCTTAGGCCTTAGAGAAACAGTTAAATTTCTGCAGACAAGCAGGGATAAACCACAGTCTCCCAATAAAAATCTGGTTTAATAAAAATCTGGGTATCCCTAATATCTCACTGCAGATGGGATTATATTTGAGGCACATGCTTAGTTAGATGCCATCAGGTCTAGATATACTATAATTGCTATACAGACAAGATCTTGGCCTCCCTCTTGTAGTAACTTGAAGCTCTTCCAAAGCTTTCCTGTAATCTTCATCTGGCCCATCCATCTTATCCCTTATCTTCCCCTTCCTTCACTTTAACTCATTTTCTCTAATCATAATCTATTCCCTTTCCATTTTGACACTGGGATCAGAAATGCAATCACTTTAGTTCTTTCCACACTGCACACATGTATGGCCTTTCCCCAATTTGGCTCCTTTAAAAATGTAATCATACATATGACCAAGATGTGAATACATTAGAGGAGAAACATTTTATATGAATTTGTCAGACATTGTATAGTTTCTCTCTGAAGATTTCACAGAAATAGCCCTCAGAAAAGATGATGATCATGATCATGATCATGATTATGATCATCATCATCTGAAATAATGACATCTTCAAGAACAAATTCATCCATGCACAAAGACATTACTTGATAACTCGGTATTAATTCCTATTGTTTTTGTAGTTATTTTGGTTTACTGAAAAAGTAATTTGAAAGAAAATTTGAAACATTTCTAAAAAAAACCCTCGCCATTACTTTACACGTGGTATAATTGTTATTCAGAGCATGATTATATCTCATTTATATATAGATCCTCGCAGAGGAACTGGCTTAATAGTCCATGCAAAGTTGGAAGTGAGCACGACATACTATTTTATTTGTTTAAAAATTTGTTTCTGTTGTTTAGAGTTACCTGACCTGGAATGACAAACTGAAGAATTAAGCAGATGAAGAAATTGGATTATTTCTTTCCATCTGGTAAATCAAATGAACGGGTCCCAAATCCGCAGCGGAATGCACTGACATGTCTAGTGATGTGATGTCATAAGGATTCAGGGTTTTCGTTTTTGAAGAGCGCAGATTTAAAATAGGTGTGTTAAGCCTGACAGAGAAACTCATTTCTTTCACCTTTTGTGTGTGTGTGTGTGTGTTTGGAATGGAAAATCATGTTGCTGAATTCCATCAGATACAGTCTAAAGTTGCTTTGAGGGGTGTAAAATGAATGCTTTCTCCCACGTTGCCCACATATACAAAGAGGAGATTGGACAGTTAGAAGTGGCTGAATTCTGGGATCCATCCCACAGAGTTACAGATTAGCATTTCAGCTGCTGAAGACACCAATGTATGAAATTGATCTCTTTCATGTTATTAATTTGTTTTGATGAGCAACATCACCTGTGGTATAAGCTGAAATTCCAGCATTACAGAAAGTAGTACTTACTCCTCAGGTAAGAGATATGGATCCAAGACTGGTGGGGTGGGTGAGCCCATCTTGGTGAGAGCCATGATATGTTCAAAGGTAATCTCAGTCTGTGTGCCCATATCTACCAAGAGGCACTCGTGAGAAGGGCTGAAGATCTTGGCGCGTGGTGCTCTTCTCAGGACCTGCACTACAATGGGATCTTTTGCTGTTTTAAAGGCTTCTACTGCTTGATCGTGGGTTGCCTTGGATAAATCTTTTCCATTTACCTGTGGGGGGAGAAAGCAAAACCAGAGAAAACAAGTAAGTATGCGGCTTTCCTTTCACAGAAAACTATTTGTGAAATAAACATCCTCTCCTGCCTCCCCATCCTTTTAAAGATAAGTGTATTTCTAATTGATAGACTTTGATTTTGGAACCCTTCTACTCCCATGTGGTGTGCATTAACGATGGCTGGGATAAAACCTTATGGAACAAGGATTGTGTGGCTGGCATTGATGAGGAACCTTTTCTTTTCTTCTGCTGGCAGCTTCTAAAAAGGCTAAACTGGTTTTGTTTCCACCTGGATGCATGAAAATAGTCAAGGTATGAATTCAAGCTTTTCTTGCTTAAATTTAAGCATCCCTTGCACTGTTGTGTGCATTATCAGAGGTGAATGCACTCTGCATTATCACAGCTGCTTTGGTTTGTCTTTGTCTTATGGAAAAAGAAGAACACAATATTAAAAGGGAAAGTAGCTGCATCCATTAATAAATAACAGATTTAATAACTTAACAGATTTAACAGCCTTAATAACTTCAGAAGAGGAGTTTCAGACTGCCAGACTCATTTTAACAATGCCATGGAAAGTTATTTCTATAACTGGTAATCTAACCTGCCAATTATAATATTAATCATCCATAAGATTGTGGAACAGAGAATAGTTAAGATATACATAGTCTAGACTTCTACATTAGAAATCCTGGTATTTGTGCTCTCCAGCCTTCCTGGCTGAGAATTCAACACACCTGAAAAACACCTGGTTGGAGAAGACTCAATTTTTTTCCTTTTAAATATTCATTTGGGTTATTCTTTTGGCTACTTGTCAAAATGCTATGCCATTTCCATCTAAAGCCTCTTTGAGTTGAGAAAGCATTTCTCAAATATCATGGATGGTTCTGCCTGCTTTTCTCAATCATTTCAAAAGGCGATCTAAGGCTCCTTCTCCCACATCCTTTTTGCAGGATGTTCTAGATTACATTTTTTTCTCTTAATGTTCCAATACTTATGCTGGAGTCTTGTTCAAACGTGGCTCTAGCCCTCCTGCTCAGATTTAAGTCCTACTCTGCCTTACTTGTTAATCTATACTTTCCCCCAGTTCACAGGCATAAGGAAATAAATAATCTGTGGGATCAATTTGATACTTACATAAATTTATTATATCAATACACAGACACTATAATTATAATAGCCAGTAACTTTAATGTATATATTGACCAATCTGATGCCCTTTTGCAAAATTATTTTAAATGGCCAATGTTAAAACCCATGTGGGCTACTTATCAACCAGACAATCTAAAGACCAACACTCTAACATTGCAAGATTTTGTTTGGCTCAACTTGTGGACAGTTTAGATCATTATACTTAATGGCACTGTCAGGGGTGATATAAAAGGGGAGTTTACATTCTGGTGCCCAAATGGGGCCACTGTGGTTGATTATATCATGATTTTCTGGAACTTTGTTCATCTTACAGCTTACTTCTGTATTGGAACTTGCTCTGATAGTGATCACTTTCCAGTAATTTGTCTTTTTGAATCTAAAACAAATCTTGAATCATTAGAAGTAGCCCACTTCTAGTAGCCCTATTGACATTACAACAAAGGGGTGAGTACAGAAGAAATGGTCTCAAGGTCTGGTTAAAGTTTTGTCCGGGCTTTTGACCTCAGAGCACACCCTTCAAATGCACACCCAAATCTGCTCAGCTGATTCATATGAACAAGTAGCGTCTATCAGTCAATTATTGTTAGTCTCCAAGTTCCCCTGACAAGATTTTCAACAGCCAGTGATGTTTATGTACATAAAAGGTCCAAACCTTGGTATGATAATGACTGCATCAAGACTAAAAAAGCTTTCTTAAATGCAATAACCTCCTTTTGTCAGGAAAATTCTTTGAGCGCTTCTCAATTACTTAAGGTTCAGAAAAAAAAAAATTCTAAAGACCTTTTGAAGTTAAAGAAAAGGCAGGCTATAGGAGAGAATTGAAGGAATTTAATTTCAGCAGCAAAACTTAAGAACTTCACTTGGTTTCGGCACTTAATGAATTGGTCCCTTGTAGATAGATGTTTTAGCCCTATCACACAAATATCTGCAGATAAATGGATCACTTCTGTAACATCTCTAAAAGGGAATCCACTGTAATCTCAGACATGATTCCCTCTCGTAGTGTCCTCCCAGATTGGCCACCAGTGTACATAGCTGTGGTTAAAGATCTTACTGCCCAATTAAAACCAGGTAAAGCATCTGGAAGTGATTGCATCCCCCCAGAATTAGTAAGGGAAAACAAAGATTGGTAGGTCCCGATGCTGGGCACTTTATTCTCAGATAGTAACAACACAGGCCAATTTCCATCTGATTGGAATCAGGCTATTGTTGTACCATTATATAAAAATAAAGGAAACAGACTTGACCCTACAAATTATAGGCTTATTAGTTTATTAAATCCAGTAAGTAAACTTTATGCCAGATTTTTATATCTAGAATTAATGGATTGGGTACAAAATGAAAATATCATTGCTTTAGAACAGGCTGAATTCAGAGGGAAATGATCAGCATTAGATCATTACTAAGGGAGAGACTCTGGGACAGTCTGAGACAGTCTACTATTGATAAAAGGCTGCTCCTGCTTATCCAGTCACTTTACTCAATGCTCCCTGAGAGTTAGATGTACTCCTTGGGGACATTTATATAAAGCAGTCCCAACTTATAGAGGTGTAAAACAAGGCTGCATATTAGCTCCACTATTTTTAAATCTATATTTAAATCCAACAATCCAAGTGCTTGCTGTTTCAGCGCATCATCCACCTATTTTAGCTGATCATGTGATTCCAGCATTACTGTAAGCCGATGATGTAGTTATTATGTCTACTTCACAGGTTGGAATGAGAAAAGCACTTACGGCACTAGCTTTATTCTGTACAGAACTAAAGCTATCAATAAGCTATGGGAAAATCAAAGTTTTAATGTTTGCCCAATGTTATCATAAAATTCACAAATGGCAAATAAATGGGAGCAGGTGCACACCTATATGTATCTTGGAGTGCAGTTCCATGCTTCTCTGTCCTGGAATGCTCATCTTTTTTTACTGGGCAAGAGTTGCACAGTGTACCTCTACAGCTATCATAAGATTTAACCACTCAGAATGAGCCCATTATATTCTTGCAGCTTGCAAGGTTTTCCAAGCTAAGGTAGTCCCTCAGCTTCTTTATGGCTCCCAAATTTGCTCTTTTGAAAAACTTTACATTCTTGAAACTATTCAAAATAAGTTGATTCGAGCCATACTGATGGTTCCAAAAAGTATCCAAAATACCATCTTATGTGTAGAGGCAGGTATAGTCTTGTTGGATGGTAGAGCATGGTTTCTTCTTATTACTATTGGGTTAAAGTTAATTCTGCTCCCTATAGTTTGGCCCCATTAGTACTCTGAGATCGTTTTACATCATCATGGCTTAAAAAAGTCCTAGATAAAATTCATTTACTGGGCTTCTCTATGGAAAGTTTGTGCTCTTTAGGTTTTGATAATGCTAGAATTGTTCTCAAACAATGAATCTGGGATACAGATCTTCAAACAAATTTAAGCAAGGTGTCACACCCCAATGTATTGATCATATTCTTCCAAAAGGGTTTGCTCCAGCCTCCTATTTATCATCCATTACAATTCTGAA